ACGTACGTACTTGGGCATACATCAAACTCCCTACAGTTGATGCATAGGGAATCTTCTGCATTTCCTGAATTTCTAAATTTCCTTTTGGGAACTATTTGAGACTAAACTTGTCTCCTTTAACAACAGGGGTATCCCCTGCTTTACATTCCTGCATGTCAAATCTTTGAAGTACTTTTTTGATATATTTCCTTTGTGATAACCCAAGAGTACCCCGAGATTGATCTTGGTGTATTTGAATTCCTAATACAAATGAGGCGTTACCAAGATCTCTCATTTCAAAGTTTCTGGACAGAAATCTCTTGGTTTCGTGCAACATGCCTATATCATTAGTGGCAAGCAGTATGTCATCAACATATAAGACCAAGAAAATATACTTGCTCCCACTGAACTTTCGATACACACAATCATCAACAAGGTTCATCTTGAAACCAAATAAGAGAATAACTTGATGAAATTTGTGGTACCATTGACGAGATGCCTGTTTTAGTCCGTAAATGGATTTTGTCAGTTTGCAAACTATATTCTTTGGGTCTCCTGACACAAAGTTTTCTAGTTGCATCATATAGATTGTCTCGTCAATGTTGCTATTGAAAAATGTCGTCTTGACATCCATGACTCCAAATCATAATGTGCGACAAGAGCCATGATTGTCCTAAAAGAGTCTTTCAATAAAATTGGAGAGAAAGTCTCTTTAAAGTTAATCCCTTCCTTTTGGGAATAGCCCTTCGCCACAAGACGAGCCTTATACCTCTCCACATTACCTTTGGAATCTCGTTTGGTCTTAAATATCCATTTGCAACAAATAAGTTTCACATCTTCTCGTAATGGGACAAATTCCCAAACTTTATTATCTTGCATGGACTTATACTCTTCATTCATTGCTTCAATCCACTTTTCTGAATTGGAATCCTACACTGCTTGACGAAAGTTGACTGGGTCATCTTCCATTATACCATTATTTTCCTCATGTTCCTAAAGAAATACTATGTAATCATCCGAAATAGCACTTCTCTTTTCTCAACATCTTGTAGAGGTTTCGAACTTCCTTTATCAAAAGCAATTGTTTGAATCGGTTTTGGAATTGTTACCGATTATTCCTCTAAGACAAAGTTCCTAACCTTATTCTTCCCCCTAAACTCAATATCCTCAAAGAACGTGGCAGTTCTCATCTCAAAAATTGTCTTTAGTGTGGGATCATAAAATTTATAGCTCTTGGATTTTTCAGAATAACCAATAAAGTAGTTGCTCACTATTCAGGAGTCTAATTTCTTTTTATTCGGCTTACAAGACCTTGCCTCAACTGGACATCCCCACACATGAAAATGTTTCAAACTAGGCTTTCACCCAGTCCAAAGCTCATAAGGCGTTTTGGCAGTTGCCTTTGTGGCACTTTATTTAGAATGTAAATTGCAATCTTTAGTGCTTCTCCCTAGAGTGACTCTACCGTTTATCGAAATAGAATGCAAAGAAAATAGAAAAAAAAATCCCACCGTGAAATGCTCCTTACCATATCCTTAAACGTCTTATTTCGTCTTTCAGCCACACCATTCATGCTAGGTGACCCCGGCATGGTATACTGTGGGATGATTCCACATTCCTCTAGGTACTTGGCAAAAGGCCCTGGACATTGTTCACTTGAACCGTTATATCTGTCATAGTATTCACCACCACGATCAGATCTGACACTCTTTATTCTTTTGTTGAGTTAATTCTCAACTTCAACTTTAAATGTTTTGAACACATCCAGAGATTGTGACTTTTCATGTATAAAAAATAGGTATGCATATCTAGAGTAATCGTCTATGAATGATATAAAATATTGTTGACCATTCCAAGAAAGTGTAGGAAATGACTCACAAATGTTTGTATGTATCAACTCTAAGACGTCTGTAGCTCTATACGCACCTAATTTCTTTGTTTTGGTCTATTTACCTTTAACGCATTCAACACAAACATCAAAGTCTATGAAGTTAATGGAATCCAAGATCCCATTTGACACAAGTCATTCAACTCTATTTTTAGAGATGTGACCTAGGCACCTGTGCCATAATGCTCCTGAGTTAATATTGTCAATTTTACGCTTAGTACTACGTAATTCCGCATTAGAGGATTCATCATAGGAAGCTACAGTATTAAGTAAATATAGATTATCATAAGCCAAAAGTAAACCAGTTCCAACAATATCTGAATTAAAAAACAACCTAACCATATGGTTTCCAAATGAACAGAAATAACCTAATTTATCCAAATAAGAAACTAAAACCAAATTTTGTCTAAATGATGGTACAACAAAATGTGTCTAACTACATGTTATTATCCATATAGAATGAAAATTATAGCACAATCATAGTTTTTCTTATTAACCCATATCCCAATTCATGATAAAAATAGAATGTGGAAACGTACATGAATTCGCCATTGGAAATAATGAAGGTTATGATATTGACAGCGAGTATTTGATTTTCCAAATGTAGAACACTTTAGGTTTTCTTTTAAGTTTCTCTTTTGATGGGATAAAGAGAGAAAGATCAGTTATTCCAAAATTGATAATTATAATCTGGCTCTTCATCAAATTATAATATCACTAATGGTATCTATACAATTAACCTTTCATGACATATATGTCATTAGCTATAAACTTATATTAATTAGACCACTTTAATATTTTAGCTAATAAAATAATAACCATAACACATTTAATTATGTAATATATATATATATATATATATATATATATGACCCAAAATTGCTAACACATTTTCTTCTTTAGTCAAGACTATTCAAACGACTTTCTCTCTCTTATTTTCGTTTTCCCAAGGTTTACTCCCTCGGAAACCAATTAAAGAGACGTTGATTTTAAGATTTTTTATTTATATTTAATTATGACATATTATTTTATATCCATTTTATTTTTCTTGGTTTTTCCATTGATCCAAACAAAGAGGTAGCAGGTAAATCTTAATTTACAAATTACAAGGAAATGCAACTGAATTTCAACGAAGTATTCTTATTAGGTTTATTTTCTTCGTCCTTATTCACGAGCATTTATCTAATGTTTGAAAAAAAATTTATATAAAAATAATCAATAATGTAAAAAAAAATTAAATATTTTAATTTTAGTTTAATTTTTTTCAATTCGCATACATTTTTTATATTTATATTTATATTTATATTTATAACTTTCATTTCTTTTTAGTTTATTTCCGATCCAAATACAACGTTACTCTGCGTCTCTCTCCCGTCGTCACTCCGTCAGCTAGGGTATGCATTCCGTCATGTCCAAATGACGTGACCTTCCTCATCTCTTGTTTTCCGATTATTAGTGTTCCACAAGGTTGAACTGGCTTCTAATGGAAACTAACCTAATTTTGCGAGAAAGACCCGAATTTATCTTCCAATTATTATTATTATTTTATTTTTTTTCTTTGTTTCACAATTATTTTCCTTCACCATTATTTAATAGACTGGAGAAAATGAAAATTAAATAATTCCAGTTATATAAATTTATATAAACAATTTGTTGAAGGAGTACAAGGAGGAGTTCAAGACAATATTGCAAGAATATTTGGTGAAAAAATAGTGCCTAACAAAATTGTATATGCATTGTAAATTTGTTGTAATGGTATATACTGCACCAATTGGTACGACAGAATTTTCCTCCAACGATTCTGCCCAAAATTCACTCTCTAGATTCGCGTTTGTCAGGTCTTTATATCTGCGACGTCGTCAAAGTCTTTATGCTTGAAAATAATTTATAAATTGACCACTTCCAATCCTTTGTAATTCTACTCGTTCTTTTCTTTTTGAAGAATTCAAAAAATTTACTAGTTTCAATTAATTTATATAAATAATTTATGATTACCGAAAATATTTTTAGAATTTTTTTTTTAAATTACGGCACTTTTATAGGTTAATAATTATTTTCTCATCATTTCAAGTAAATTTTTGCATATACATTTATATTTTATTTATTATTTAAATTTTAAATGTTTTATAATTTTTTATTTTATAATTTCATCTAGTAAAATATTTACTATTAATAATTATAAGTATATTTTAAATTTGTTATATAAAATTATTTTAATTTAATAATATCCGAGTAATACACCAAAAAAATTATTAGTTATTTACATGTTATTTTTTTAAAAGATGACTAGATGGTAACTTAAATTTCAAAATAAAAGAAAATAAAATAAAAATTTGTGCATATTTTTCTAAATTTTGAGTTAAAAATACATTTGCGGAAGTAAAAGACACGCCTCTCCTATGTGAATAAATTTTATAATATATATATATATATATATATATATATATATTCTATTTTCTTTAAAATTATTCTTTTTCTCTCAAAGCAACACTTAATTAAACTATTAACACTATTATAAAAGCCAAATACGTATATGAGAAACATATTTGACTACTCTCTTTATAAGATAGTCAATTAAAATATTAGTTAATGTGACTACTATCTTCTATTTAAATAAATTTTCGTTAAAATTTTTCATTTCTAAAAATTAATGTGATATTTTAATTTTAGTTATTATGGTTTCTATTATAATTTCTTATATATAAACTATTTTTACTCTCTTTATTATTCATATAAATAAGTAAATAAATTTTTTCACTATTTTTTTTATTTTTATTCATTTAAACAACACATCTTTTTTATCTCATTCTTGTCAATTCCTTCCGAACCATTTTCCTTTCTACCTATTTTCTTTCCCAACACATCTATTTCTTTCTTATTTTCTTTTAAACGGTCAGATATAATTAAAATATGTATATAAATTATCATAAATTATGTATATATTTATTAAAATATACGTTTTATATTGAAAAAAAATGAGAATTAATATTTTAACTAGAAAACAAATAAGTCCTTAATAGCATGCGACATTCAGTTGACTGATATGATCAATAGTACTTTTGTAGTCTATAAAAGGAGGAAAAAGAATTGTTAAATGGCAAAATATCTCTTCACACACTTCTCATAATCCATTATGAGAGGACCAGTATCGTTTTGGCTTTTCTTGATACCTTTCTGCTTGACAAATTTTAGTACCGATATCCTTGCAGCAAATGGCTATTGTCTTGGCCATGAGCATTTCATGTTGATTCATTTGAAAAATAGTCTGATATTCAATCCTGTAAAATCTGAAAAGCTTGTTCGTTGGAATCAAAGTAGAGATTGTTGTGAGTGGCATGGGATAACATGCAACAAGGGACGTGTTGTGGTCCTTGACCTTAGTGAGGAGTCCATTTCAGGAGGGTTTGTTAATTCAAGCACCCTTTTTAGCTTGCAATATCTTCAAAACTTGAATTTGGCTTTCAATAATTTTCAATCTGTCATTCCTCCAGAGTTGCACAAGTTAAAGAATTTGAGGTATCTAAACCTATCTATGGCTGGCTTTGAGGGGCAGATTCCACATGAGATTTCTCATCTTGAAAGGTTAGTTACTCTTGATTTGTCTTCTTCAGTTACCTCACCCCATAAGCTAAAACTCGAGCAGCCAAATATAGCAAAGCTTGTACAAAACCTTGCAAATATTGAAGAACTATACCTAGATGGTGTAGCAATATCTGCCAAGGGACAAGAGTGGTGCCATGCTTTATCTTCGTTGCATAAGCTTCGGGTCTTGAGCATGTCATCATGCAATCTCTCTGGACCTATTGATTCTACACTAGCTGAACTTCGTTCACTCTCTATTTTAAAATTGAGCAACAACAGTATGTCAAGCGTATTGCCAGAATCCTTTTTAAATTTCTCTAATTTAGCCACATTACAACTCAGCAGTTGTGGTTTGAGTGGTTCTTTTCCAAAGGGCATCTTCCAAATACCAACATTAAAGGTCCTTGACATCTCAGATAATGAAGATCTTGGGGGTTCTTTGCCAAACTTCCCACTGCATAGTTCTATTCAAAGCTTGGATCTTAGCCATACAAATTTCTCAGGAAAGCTTCCAGAATCAATTTCCAATTTGAAGCAATTGTCTATGATTGATATATCTTACTGCCAATTTAATGGAACACTTCCTAGTTCATTGTCAGAACTCAGCCAACTTGTTCATCTGGACTTGTCTTCCAATAACTTTGTGGGTCCACTTCCTTCTTTTAATATGTCCAAGAAACTCACATATTTGTCTCTCTTTCATAATAATTTAAGTGGAGTGTTACCGCCCAATCATTTTGAGGGCCTTAAAAATCTTGTCAGCATTGATTTAGGGTTTAACCTTTTCAGTGGAAGTCTCCCCTCATCTCTCCTTAAACTTCCATACTTGAGAGAACTTAAACTTCCCTATAATCAACTCAGTGGTGTTTTGGATGACTTTTTAATTCCCTCCTCTCCATTAGAGATGCTTGATTTAGGCAGAAATAATTTTCAAGGGCCTATTCCAATGTCTATCTTCAGCCATAGAACACTTCGGGTCATTCAACTTAATTTGAACAAGTTTAATGGCACGATACAGTTGGACAAGATTCGCAAGCTAGGTAATTTAACTACACTTTGCCTCTCACATAACAATTTGACGATTGATATAAACTATAAGGATGATCTTGACCTCTCACCTTATCCTGATATAAGAAATCTAATGTTGGGATCTTGCAAGTTGGGAGGAATCCCTAGTTTCTTGAGAAATCAATCCACATTACTACATCTTAACCTAGCTAACAACGAGATTCAAGGGACAATACCAAATTGGATTTGGCAACTTCAATTTCTTGTTCAATTGAATCTTTCCAACAATAATCTGACAAGTTTGGAAGGAAATTTTTGGAACGTTAGTTCAAACATTTTGGTTCTTGATCTTAGTTCCAACCAACTGCAAGGTGCTTTCATTCCATTTCCCAGGTATGCAAATTATTTAGACCTCTCTAGTAATAGATTCAACTCTACCATTCCATCAGACATTGGAAACAACCTCCCATACACAATTATTTTGTCTTTATCAAAAAACAATTTTCAAGGAGAGATTCCTGAATCTATTTGCAATGTCTCAAGGCTTCGCCTGCTAGATGTTTCTAACAATACCTTTGCTGGGATGATTCCCAAGTGCTTTGCAACATTGAGTAGCACTCTTAGGGTGCTCAATATTGGTGGGAACAAACTCCAGGGTTATATTCCTGATCCCATGCCAACTTCATGTACTCTAAAGTTATTGGATCTAAGTGACAATCTCTTGGAGGGTACCATCCCAAAATCTTTGGTCAATTGTCAGAAACTACAAGTCCTAAACCTTAGAACAAATATGTTATCTGACAGATTTCCATGTTTCTTAAGTAATATTTCCACCTTACGAATCATGGATCTAAGGTCAAATAAGCTCCATGGTCCCATTGAATGTCCAAGAAGCATTGGTGATTCCGAAATGCTTCATATTGTCGATCTAGCCTTCAATAATTTCAGTGGTAAAATACCAGGTGCACTGTTAAATAGTTGGAAAGCAATGATTGGTGACAAAGATGAAGTTGGGCCAGAATTTGGCCACTTATTCCTTGATCTCTATGATCACTACGATCCAAGGAATTTTCAGGAATTATTGGCAACTTTGGACAAAGTTATTGTGGCAATATTAGCAAAACTTGTTACAAATGTCTCTCGCTCTATCCTTGACCAGGGATCCTCTGATGCTTATGCGGTGGATATTTCTCGGTATCAAAATTCAATTACCATCATAAATAAAGGTCTACAAATGCAACTGGTCAAAATTCAAAGGGCCTTCACTTATGTGGATATGTCAAGCAACTATTTTGAGGGTCCAATACCAAATGAGCTAATACAGTTCAAGGCACTGAATGCTTTAAACTTGTCAAATAATGCATTCTTGGGGCATATCCCACTATCTATAGGAAATTTGAAGAATCTTGAATCTTTAGACTTGTCAAACAATTCTTTCATTGGAGAAATTCCAATGGGACTTGCTAGTCTATCTTTCCTTGAATATCTAAATCTCTCTTTCAATCACCTAGTGGGGAAAATTCCAGAGGGTACTCAAATTCAATCATTTGGTGCAGATTCTTTTGAAGGAAATGAGAAGTTATGTGGACCCCCACTGAACCATGATTGTAGCAATGGATTGCCACCAGCAGCTTATAAAACATCTCATTCCCATGTTGAGAGTTCAATTGATTGGAATTTCTTAAGTGCAGAGTTAGGATTTATCTTTGGCTTAGGAATTTTCATCCTCCCCCTTATTTTCTGGAGAAGATGGAGGTTGTGGTATTCCAAACATGTAGATGAGATGCTTTACAACATCATCCCCCAACTTGATTTTGTTTACAAACACCGGGAAGGGAAGAGATATAGAACTCTAAGTTGGAGCTACTGAAATCTAAGGTGAGAAAAGCTTTAACGTTGTTTTAGTTTCTGAGATAGTACAATGCACACTCTTCTAATATTTTGGTTTTGTATTTCTTAATCTTTATTGGATTTTGAGCAGTGTCAAAATAAGGCCTGTGCCTATTTATCTGTTTGAGCATAAATAAGCAGTTTTGAAAAACTTTTATTCGAGTTTCACAGTTTCCCTAGTTTTAAGTTAGAAGTTTTAGGCTTTGTTTGGGAGTTTAAAGAAAAAGAAAAGAGAAGAGTTTAAAGGAAAAAGGAGAGAAAGAGAAGGAAGACAGAAAAGGAAGACAGAAAGAAGTTAAACCCCTCTTTTCTTCTAATCTCTTTTCTCTTTTTCCTTCTCCTCCTAAACCTAACTCTCAAACATAGCCTTAGACACAAGAAAGTTAATAGCAGAAAGTTGTGTGTATGCAAAATTTTCTTGGATAAAACGTTAGGAAGGAAGCCAAAGATGATCCCATGAGCTCAAACGCACAAGTCACACACACTGTTGACACACATTCAAGATACTTTTCGTAAGATATCTGTACCCATTAAATTGATCATCACTGTTTATATGCACAGCTCATAAGAACAAATCACTACGCACACAACCACGAAATGGGAATTTGAGAGATAAAGAAAGCATAACAGCCTCGAGTTCTCGATATTGAAAGAAGATGCAATACACTTCAAGACAAACCACAAAACAAAGCCAAGTCAATTTCCTTAATCCACTTTCTGTTACTTTCAGTATTATAAATAAACCACGAAATTAAGATACATTGCTATACACGTTTACAAACTTACAATACTATAAAAACACATTTCGATAAAGTCGCAAGCATTGGGCTCAATTATCACATAGCGAGGAAGGAAGAGAAAAAATAACTAATTAATTTTCTAATTATTATCTTTTAAAATCTTTTCTTTTATTTTGAATATAATTAATAATATTAATTCAAATATAAAATAAATAATAAAATAATAAAAAATCTTGTAGCCGAATGATTGAGTAATTTTTGAGTCTAAAGTTAATATTTGAAATTTATTATTTTTTTAATTTCTTTGATGTATATTTGTTGTTTGTTATTAAGTGGTATTAGATCTATTTTAATTTGTTTGCAAATAATTAACATTATATGTTTTGTGAATGGAACGAAAAAAAAATAGATAAGAAGTTAATTTTAATTTTATTTCTGTAGGTGCTCACCCTTATTCGGAAAGGGCATTTGTTCTTATTACATTGTATACACACTTTGAACCTCAGTTAAATTTTGTTTGCCCTAAATATATACCAGCTGAAAATATTAATTCTTTTTCTCAAAACATAGAATAAAATATTTTTCATCTTTTCTACAATTTCTTCATAATTTTAAAACAAATAACTCAATAACGGGAAAATATTCGTACGAGAATTAAAATATTTCTATAAACCTCTATTGGCCAAACGAGAGCCGTTAAATATAGCATAAAATAAAATATAGCAATAAATAGAGATGAAATAAAAATGATAAAATTAAAATTAAGTAATAGATGAAAATGATCAAAATATAATATTCACATTATTATTTCTATAAATATAAAAATTCAAATTTCCTATTCTTTTCAACTAAATATTTAAACATTTCGATTTTTGAGAAAGTCAACTTCAATCATTTGATGCTAGTTGCTTCAAAGGCAATAGAATATATGGATTTCCATTAACTAGAAGTGTTGCTAGTCAAGTTTATGGTTCCCACCACCTATAACAATGTCCACCTGCATCATCAACAACGTCAAGAACGTCCCTTGCAATTGATTGGGTTTGGTTTTACCATACTAAGTGTAATTTCATTGTAAAATTTTTGCGAGATTGGTGTAACTTTAAAATAGAATAAGTTTTATCTCTTATTTATAACTATATTTATTTTTCATTAAAAGATGAAAGTCATATTTATAATGTACGACTATACTTTTATAATAAAAAGAATTTGAGAAAAACCATAATTTAGCACTCTCAGAGACTTTTTTTTTTTTTTTAATAGAATAGAAAGTGGTACATGAAAGCATAAATTCCTATATTTAATATTAAACTTTTTATAAAATAAAAAATTTAAAATCCAAAATTTAATTTTTTTTTATAAAATAAATAGTTGTACGTGGGAAATACAACACTTGCTTGTAATTTGATTTTCGTTTTTTATAAAATAATAATAAAAATCAAACTAAATAATTGGATAGATCAACTACAAATAATATTTAATTAAAAAGTTTGAAAGTTATTTTAAGCTCATAATTTGTAAGGAAATTGCACTAATACGGTAAAAAATCCTTTAAATATAAAAGTCATGGAGGACAAACCTAGGCAATTTTTAGTTGGAGAAGCAATTATTCTGATGAACTGTGAATAAATTTAAGCCACCCCAATGCTTCTTTCATCTTCTTTTCCCCATGTCTTTATTGCATTGCTCATTGGGCTATCAGCATCACACTGCATCAATGTTTGGCATTGCTATATTTAACGTAAAGAAATTGTAGTAATTTTGAAATGTTTTATGCAAACATTTTTCTTTATATTCTGCGTAAATCTATTGACTATTTATCGCTTTGAAATTTTTATTTTCTTAACGTGCTAAAAGAACAATGTTTACTGTATAGCCTGAAATTTAGTGACTTAACTATCCTAAAATCCGAAGAAACTGAGCAGAACTTGCAGCACTAATTTACGCGCAAATTAAACGAACGTTAATTTCCAAATGTTGCTGCGTCGTTGATCTAATCAAAAACTCAATTTGAAAAATTCATCTATTATTCCCACACCCGGTGCGTCGCCGCTCTTTGAACCCATCTCCTTTACCGAATCATTATCCATTAACCCTCTCGATCTCATTGGTTTCTCACACACAACGGTAGTGGCAGAGGCATAAGGTGGAGCATCGTCGATGTGGTGTCTCGTAATTGATTGACGTACAGGATTGAAAGTGCGCCGCTCTTTGAACCCATCTCCTTTGTCGAATCATCATCCATTGACCCTCTCGATCTCATTGGTTTCTCACGCACAACGGTAGTGGCAGAGGCATGAGGTGAAGCATCGTCAATGTGGTGTCTCGTAATTGATTGACGTACGGGATTAAAAGTGCGCCGCTCTTTGAACCCATCTCCTTTGCCGAATCATCATCCATTGACCCTCTCGATCTCATTGGTTTCTCACGCACAACGGTAGTGGCAGAGGCATGAGGTGAAGCATCGTCAATGTGGTGTCTCGTAATTGATCGACATACGGGATTGAAATTCAATGATCTGCAACACAAATCCGATCAAAGACAACAACATTGATTTAGGGAGGAGAGCTGAAGAATTCAATTGTGGAACAAAAGTCTAGAGGAGGGGGTAAATTTGGTGGGCATCTTGGGAAAGTTCTCAATAATTTCATGTCTTACTTTTTTACAAAATTTTCACTTGTTACTAGTGTCTTGGCCTTGTGGCGGGTGTTTCAACAATGGGGGAAGGAGGTTGATGTTTTCATATCACAAAAAAGTGACAAACTAGGACGTCGTTTTGGTTTTGTGCGCTTTGTGGATGTGGCAGATGCCAAGAGTTTAGAGGCTAAGCTTAGATCCATTGTCATTGAAAGGATGCGCTTGTCTATCAACTTAACGAGACATGCAAGGGAGAAAACTGTGAGTCCAATGGTGTCTGCGGAGGGCGATGAAACGAGATACTTCTTTGTCACTAGGGCTACAAAGACGTCAGGTAATACATATGCGGACAAGCTTAAAGCATCCTGTTTAGATGGGATACACACAGGACAGAAGTGGGTGGAAAAAAAGAAACCTGGGGCTCACCTTGAGTTTAAGGTGGATGAGGGGCGGATTAAGGAGTGTAGAGGTGCTATGGTCGGACGCCTTCATAGAAAACAGGATTTGAAAAGTATGCGAGGACTTTTCTGCGGGAAGGTATGTTAGATATTAATCTCACAGTCATGAGTGACGACATGATGTTGGTGGAATCTGATGCGGGGATAGATTTAGAGGATACAGTATCACACAACAAATTGTGGTGGAAGAAATGGTTCTATGATCTACGGGAGTAGCGCCCAAGTATGATAGTTGTGTGGAGGGTGACTTGGGTACATTATTATGGGGTCCTTTTGCATGCTTAGGGTGAGTTATTCTTTCATAAGTTAGTTTCTTCGCTTGGTGATTTTATTCAAATAGACCAAGTCACAGCAGAAAGATGACGACTGGATTGTGGGAGGATACAATTAGGTACTACCATTGCTGAGCTTATCAAGCAAAACATTATAGTGAAAGTCAATGATTGTTTTTCTCAATAGTTATGCTTAAAGAGTATGCCTGTGATGTTGTGGCCGCAATAGAGGAAGACGTGGCTAACTCTTCTGAGGATAGCAATGACTTATCTGAGATTGGTTCAATAGAGTTGGAGGCCTTGGATAACTATTTTAGTAAGGAGGAGGGTGTGTTGCACGATAATATCGAAGGTAAGAATTGTTTGGTTGACTCTGTGATTAGAAGTAAAGTGTCAGTGTTAGTAAAAGGATGTTTGATAGATGAGGGTTTAGGGGCTGATGGTACGAATGATACGGGTTTGGCAGTGGTTATTTGTGATGTTATGAATGAGCCTTCAGAAAATGTGGAGAGGGGAGGTCTAATAGCAAGGCCTTGTCCGTTGCAAGAGGTGGGTAGAAATGAGTTAAATCTATTAGACTTAGACGCATTGATTTGGAAAAATTCAGAATCAAGAAGTAAGGAGACAATTGGGACAGCACAAGCAGACCACTTTCAATCCAAGGCTTGTATTGAAAAAGAAAGAGTGAATGTGCATGAATCTCTTTGAATGGCACGCTCTATGAAAGGTAGTCCAGGTGATAAAGTAGTAAACAGACATAAGAGCACGGTTTTCATAGACTCCCATTAAAAAAAACCTTAGGGATCATTGTAGAGATACGTTAATGTCGTTGCAACTTAAAAGAAAGGTATTGCTAGCTAATGAAATTTTGGCTAATGCTTCTGAGGGTTCCTACAAATCGCATCCTTCTGATCCCATAGTGGAGGTGGGGTAGTGACTGGCTGCTGCAGCTTGTGATATGAGGTAGTGGCGTCGAGGTTAATAGACATTGGTAAGAAGGTTGGTATGGTTGTACATGGGAACGATGAGCAGGTTCGAGAGAAATTAATTGAGATGGAGGTACGCGACAAAACGATTGCGAATACACATGGAGTTCGCTTTGGTTCTAAATGAATATTGGCTCATTTAATTGTCAAGGGTTGGGGAGCGAGATGAAGCGAAAAAGGTGTTGAGATTATTCGCTCTGAAGGTCTAGAGTTTTTGGCAATTCAAAAAACAAAACTTAAGATATGTAATCGCAACTTATGTGCACTTCTGTGGGGTTTTATGGATTTTGATTGGATTGCATTACCCTCCGTTGGTAGAAGCGGAGATATGCTTTCACTTTGGGATACATCCAAAGGTAAAATACTTTTATCCTTTTCTGGTACTGGATTTCTAAGTGTTTACTTGCAGGTATTAGCTACTGGAAACCTATGTGTTATGGTAAATGTCTATGCGTCGTGTAGACTAAGTGAGAAGAGAAAGTTATAAGATGATTTGCTCATAACAAAAAAGGGTTTTGGCAAATTTATGTGGTGTATATTGGGTGACTTCAATGCTGTGAAACAGGTCAACGAGAGGAAGGGTTGTCAGGCAAACCATGGTATCTCTGAAATAGATGACTTTAATTCTTTCATTCAGGAAATGAAGCTTGTGCATCTTCCACTTGTGGATAAGAAATTTACATGGATAAGGGATGTTCTATAATGAGCAGGCTAGATAGAGTCCTTGTTTCTAGTTCCTGAATTGATTATTGGGGAGATGAATTTATTCAGGTTCTGAGTAAAGATGTGTCTGATCATTGTCCCATTATTCTAAAGTACAAAGTGGTTAACTGGGATCCAAAGCCATTTCGATTTAACAATTGTTGGCTGACTCATAAGGGAGTTGTGGAGGTGGTGGAGGAAGTGTGGCAAAGAGATATTACTCTTCCATGGGCTGCCCAGAGAACTAGCCAGAGGTTGAGGAATGTTTAGATTGCATTAAAAAAAATGAAATATTGAGGTGTTTGGAAATGTTGATAAGATGATTTTTGATCTAACAATAGAGTTGAGTTTGATTGATGATAAAAATTTTGTGAGGAAACTTTCTAATATGGAAAAGGAGCGTCAACAGATATTGGTTGGTGATATTTGGAAGGCTAGGAAGAATAAGGAAAGTCTTATAGCTCAAAAAGCTCGGGTGCAATGGGGGAAGAAGGGTGATTTAAATACAAAGTTCTTTCATTTATGTGTTAACGAGAGGAGGCGACGAAATAAAATACATGCGCTTCAAATAGGGAAGAGATGTGTTGAAGAGGTTGAGGAGATTAAAGCAAGTGTGGTGTCTTATTTTGCAGATTATTTTAGTAATAGAGGTTGACTTCGACCTACTATTGATGTTAATGATTTACCAAGAGTCTCTGTTCTACAGAATGAAGGACTTGTTAATGCTTTTTTGGAGGATGAAGTGGGGAGGATGATTTTGGAGTGTGAGGGGGATAAAAATTCGAAGCCTGATGGTCTTAATTTTGTGTTCCTTAAGAGGTTTTGGGGAGTAATCAAGGTAGAAGTGATGAATATGCTTGCTGAATTTTTTAGAAATGAAAAACTGCCTAAGTCTTTGTTATCCTACTTTGTAGCACTTGTGCCAAAAGTATCTTGCCCACAACAAATTACTAATTTTTGGCCTATTTCATTGCTCGGTTGCCTTTATAAGATTGTTTCCAAGCTTTTGGCAAATAGGTTGAAAGGGGTTCTGGATTCAATAATCTCATAACAACAATCAGCCTTTATCCTAGGAAAGAACATATTAGATAGTGTGCTTGTGGCTAATGAAGCAGTAGATTATGTGCGGAGGTATAACAAGAGGTGTTTTGTGCTAAAGCTTGATTATGATAAGGCTTATGATTCAGTAGAGTGGGAGTATCTTCTGTTTATGTTATGTAGCTTTGGATTTTCAGAAAAATAGGTCAGTTAGATGGAAACTTGTGTGTGTGTAGGTAGTCTGTTAGCTTTTATTAATAGTTGTTCTACATTGGAGGTTCATATTGGGCGGGGTCTAAAACAGGGGGATCTTTTTGCCCTTTTTCTTTTTCTTGTGGCAACGAAGGGGTTAGGAGTCCTTATGCGGAAGGCAGTAGCATGTGAGCTATTTTCTGGTGTGAAGATTGGAGTTGGGGGACTAGATATTTCTTTGCTGCAATTTGCAGATGACACATTGATTATGGGAGAGGCTTCGGTTCAGAACTTGTGGACTTTGAAAGCAGTATTGCGTAGCTTTGAGTTAATTTCAAGTATGGAAATTAACTTTCATAAAAGTTGTATATTGGGAATTAACACTAGCGATTACTTTAAAAACTTGGCTGCAGAGTTCCTACATTGTAAGATTAGTAACTTCCTATTAAAGTATCTTGGGTTACAGTTAGTTATTAACCCAAGGAAGCCTAATGCATAGAAGGATGTATTAGAGGCTCTTAAAAAGAGGTTGGCATCATAGAAGTATAGGTATTTATTAATTCGAGGCAAGGTGACTTTGATTAATGTCATTCTTAGTTCTATGTCATTACACTCGTTATCCTTTTTTAAGGCACTGAAGTCAGTAATAAAAGAGATTGTCACTTAAATTTTTTATGGAAGGGTGTTAAGGATGGATCCAGAATCTCCTGGATGAAATGGGAAACGATTTGTAGACCGCAGAAGAATGGTGGCTTGGGCATTAGGAATGTGTAGTGGTTTAATTGGGCGCTTCTTGGTAAATGGTTGTGGCGTATTAATTGTTCTAGTTTATTGTTGATGCTGGTGTTGGAAGCTAAATATAGCAGAGTAGCTTCTGCTATTCAGCGTCCACTAGTCTACAACAGATGTTCTTTGTGGTGGCGTGATTTGCTGGAGGTTATTCATCAAGAAAATTCATGGTTGAATGAAAAGTTGGATAGGAATGTGTGTGCAGGTTTGTATACTCTTTTTTGGAGAGATAAGTGGGTAGGTGGAGTGTGATTGTGTGAAGCATTTCTGTAATTATTTGCGGTGGAGCGGAATGTTGAATCTTGTGTATTGGAGAATGATTTTCATGATGGCACTAAGTGGGTTTGGGATGTTAGTTGGTGAAGAGAACTCTTTCAACATGAGATTTGAAGCTTTAATCTTTTGTTAGAGCTTGTCGCTGAAATTTCTATTAAGGTGCAACAAGAAGATAAATGGGTATGGAAGGCAGATTCTTCAGGTTGTTATTCATTGCAATCTGCGTATTCATGGTTATTTGAACTTTTTAGTGGTCCTAATAGTGTAAATCAATGTACGGCAAACGCTTGCAAAGGCTATAGAGAGGGAAGGTCCCTCTTAAGTGTCTAGTATTTTCTTGGTAATTGTTGTTGAATGCACTTTCTTGTAAAAGTTTGCTGGTTGATCGTAGTGTTTAAATTGATGATATAACTTGTTGCTTCTGTCATGATTTGGAGGAACTTCCAACTCATTTATTTTTAACGTGCTCAGTTTCATCTCAATTTTGGTATTTTATGGCGCGTTGGCTTGGATTCTTACTGGTTTTGCCTTTAGATTTATCGATTCACTTGCTTTCTTGGGTTGGTGTTGGTTGTAGTAAAAGAAAAAAGATGTGTTTATTAATTGTTTGGGTAAGTACAATGTAGTTTTTGTAGTTACATAGAAATAGAATAGTATTTTCCAATGGTGTTTTGGATGAGAAGGAAGTCATAGATTTTATTATTCTGAGGTTTTAGAAATGAATATCACTTTTAGTAAGGGAGAAGCTATTTTGTTAGCAGATTGGTATTTGAACCCATAAAATTACTTCCGTTTTAACTTTACATAAGTATGTTTCTAATTTTTATTTTTATGAATAAGTAATAGTTTTTTCTTTATGCATATGAGTTTTAAGTTCTCTTTGAACTCTCTCTAATAATATATATTTTGTTTAACGAAAAAAAAAATGAAGAAACTAACGTCATGAAGAATGGGATAAGATTTTTGTTGAATGTAAATTTTTTTTGTCAATAATAAATAAATTCATAAACAATTTGAAATTAAATTTTAAATACTCTTTTATAGTTTTTTTTTTTAGTATGTTTTTATCATATTTATCAATAATGTTAAAAAGTTAAAATAAAACAAAAATGAATTGAAGAAGAATAATTACAATGAATAATTAAAAAAAACAATAAAAATGTTAAAGTAAACAACTTGATTCAAGTAAATTGCTGAATACAAATATACAAATTGAATATAAATGTACAACCTTAATGACAATTAACATATAACTCCATATCTCTTTTTTTTTTTTTTTTTCAGGTTTAACTTGTGTAGAACTTTAACATTTGTAGAGTTTGAATGTGAGTATTTAGTGTAAAACTTATAACTCTTAAACTATGAAATAAAATATTATTTATAATTACAATATAATTAAATCATTTAAAAAATCGTAAATCTAAATCACATAGTCTAAAACATGTTCTTTGTAATTGTTCTTCCATGTCATCATCAATCTTTGTTATGTATCTTGACTTTCAATGAATAGTAATCACTGATAACCATTCCAAATATAATTAAGTTTTTAACATAAATTCATTATTTTATGACATACTTTTATTACTTAAACTTAGATATTTTTTAACTTTAAAATATTTTAACTCTGTTTATAGATAAATGTACATGTCAACAAGTAATACAAAATTTTAAATTAAGTTTTTAAGTTATTATCTTATAGATATTTTTAAGTACTAAAAATATCTTAATTTAATTTTTTAAACAAAAAAAAAGAGCATAATGAATTAAAATCAAAAGAAGTTTGAATTCAAAAAATAATTAAAAAGACATAATGTTATTTTAGGAAGAAAACAGAAAGAGAAGAGAGAGTTTATTTATAATTATATGTTGTTTGAGAGTTAAAAAAATAATGAAAAGTTAAGAGATTTTTTTAAATCTTAAAACCTTCTTAACTTTTTTTTTTTTTTTGAGTTTCTCCAATTTAAAGTGTTTTTTTGTTTGATTGTTAAATGAATGAAATAGTAAAAAATAAATATTTAAAAGAAAGTGTAATATTAATTTTAAAGATAAGATTAGTAAGAAAATAAAACTATTTTTTTAAAAATAAGAGTATGTTGATTTCAATTTTTAAGAGTTTTTTCTTTTTAAAACTTAAAATTTATAATTTGCTTCTAGTTTTTATGGTAAGAATTTTTAAAAAAATTATAAAAAATAGAAATATTAACTTTAAAATATTAATTTTTAGAAAAACAAAAAATTTTAATTTAATATTTTTAAAAAAATAAAAATATATAAATAAAATAATAATAATATCACTTATATGATTAAATTTGTATTACTTTATCTTCTTAATATCGATAGATGTTTAATCTTTATTCTTTTTTCTTCTTTTTTTCTTCCATTATCTTTTAAATTTTTTATTTTTTCTCTTTCTAAATTCTTAAATAAATCTTAAAGAAAATTTCATTTAATGCTGGAGAAGAACAATATTATCAAATTTAGCAAATAAAATTGAAATAACATAATATCAAATTCATTGCACGTAATATCGATCAATGACATAATAACGCGCTATCTTCTATGCATTCATGCCTTGTATAAGATTTCGTTTAGATAAGAGTTTCCACTTAAAATATTATTTTAATTATTAAATAATATAAATTTATTTTAAAATTAAATTATATTTAATCTTTAATTAATTAAAATATATTTTTATTCTCTTTTTAAAAAAATTATTCTTTTAATTTATTAAAATAAAATCATTCCATTTATTATTAAATGATTCACATGAGAATGAATATTTTTTTAATATATTAAAAGTATATTTAAATATGAAACACATAAAATAATTTATTTGAAACAATTATTTTCTTTAAAAAAATTATATTATTATCTTAAACACTTACATTACTTAATAATTTTTTATAGAATACAAAATTATCAATACAATCATTAAATTTTAGGTTCTTATCAAGTATATTAAATTTATAAAATTTTATATTAAAATAAGATAAATAGATACTTCATCTCATTATTTGGTTTTAACGGCTAATATAATTTTATAATATAAGTAAATATCAAACTATAGATAATATATCTACTTGATTAGTTGATATTGTAAAATAATTTACAAATTAATTGATCAATCTTACATTTTATTAAAAATTATTAAATAGTGTTCAATTTTAACTTTTAGTGTTAATAATCTTAACTCTCTTTTTTTCTATTTAAATATACTATTTATTTTTTCTTAATATTTATTTATTTTAATTATTTTAAAATATTTTTATATCATATTAAAAATTATTTAAATAAATTAAAAATATCATAATCTTTTTTGCACAAAATCTCGTTAGAGTATGAGAAAAGTTTATAGTGAACTCCACAGAAAATATTATTTTTCACTTATATAAAACAAAACATTCAAACGAAAATTTTCTTTTCCTATACTTTTCTATCACTGGATAATATTTTCCACCAAAACAGATAAATGCTCGGAAATTAGAATAATGCATGGTCCCTAGCTTACTTTTCCAGTAGCCAGCCCCTCATAAGTTGTCCTCCCTACACGTCTATTCATAACTACTACTCAATTGACATGATTAAATGAGTCATCTTAGACGTGTAAAATGCTCTTGGAAATTAGGATACTGCTTTGTAGTTTCGAACAACTTTCAAAATGGTTTACTTTGAAAGGTGCTACAGCTCTTAGTTGATGTCTGACCAATCTCATTGTAATCTCTTAACCTTCTTCCTCTGCCACTCTACTATTCTTCTACACTTTCAGCCACCGTTCCTTACCAAATTTACGTGAGTTT